GGTGTGGGATGGACTGGAATAGAAAAGAATAGAATGGAATGGGATGGAAAAGGTTGAAATGGATGGAATGTGGAATGGAATGGATAGAAAGGGATGGAAAGGGTTAAAATGGTTGGACTATGGAATGGAAGGAAGAGGAATGACATGGAATAGAGTAAGCGGACTGGCATCATGTTGGATGTGTCAGAGTTTTGACTTGGTCAATCCTGGATGAGTCAATGGCATCATGTTTCTGGGCCATACAAGCGAAGACCTGACTCTGAGCAAGGGATACTTCACCAAACTTCTGCCCTCGTTTACAGCGCTGCCTGCAGGTGCAACGCTATTCCTCCATTCCTGGCCAGCCCGGGGCCATCTCTGAGGTTTCACGTGGGATGTTGCTCCACGTCCCTACGGTTGTGCGGCTCTGTGCTCTGTCAGGGAAGAGGCTTTGGGATGATGCACCACTGGCTGTCACTTAGCAGTCACTCCCACACACCAGGTACTTTAGGAAGCACTCTGACCAGTGACCATGGAAAGGGCAGCCTCAGTTACAGCTGTCACCATTCTAGACCCATCTCACATTATTCCTTAAAAAGGCACCATAATGTAGTCCTCAGGAGTGTGGGCTTCACACCAGACACCATGGTTGTCACTGTAGACTCTACCACAATAGCTGTAAATTCAGGCAAGTTATTAAAGTTCCCTCAACCTTTCTTTCCTCACCTGCAAAATGGAGATAAGAGTACCTACATCAAAATGTTGACATTAAATGAAAATAACATCTATATAAAGCCCTCAGCATAATCCCTTTCATGGTTAATGCTATATTAATGTTAGTAATTATTTAAAGGACAAAATGTTACTAAGAGGACATTCCAGTGCACACTGGTGTTTCTAAAGACAGCACGGAACTCTCTATATGTCTTTGCACTACAAGACCACAAGCGATACGTTTGTCTTCACAGAAATCATTAGAGTTAGCATCCTTGATTATTGTAAGCACAGGTCTGTGCATAGTGCTTTATGGGCACCTAGTCATTAAATTGTCCCAGTTGCTATGCAGTGGGTCCTCTTCCCACTTTACAGAGAGGAAACCCAGTGCAGAGATGGTAAATAACTTACCCAGAGTCACATATTTAGTGTGTAGTAAAGCCATAATTCATACACTCAACAGTCTAGACTCAAAGATCATACTCAACTACTATTCTGTACCACTGTCACCATTGTTGGAAGAGCTCTAGGCTTTTTAGCTTCCGGGAAATTTGCTACGGGAGTCATCCATCCTATGTCTGCTCGATCTGCTTCCATGGCTTTCCAAAGCTCCATGGCTACTCAGAGCATTTGCTTTATTATGAGTTTTTTTTTTTTCCTTGTAATTTCCTAATGCTTTGTAGAATTTGTTCCAACTTTCATTCTTTTACATCGCTTTTGTCTTCCCAGCTTTAATTGCTTGGTAAATGGGTTTTATAGGATTCCCTGAGGAATAATGCAATACCTAGCTAATCCATGCCTGTAATAAATGAGGCACATTTCAAAATGTTTTTCTGCTTTATCCTTATTATCCATCCCTACTAAACCCCAAATCAATTTTCATCAATTTAAAATCAACATGATTTTCTGGTCTCCAGAAAGTCATTATTGATTATGATATCTTCTCATTGGACATTAAATTTGTGCTTGGATATAACAGATGAAAAGGGTCTAAAATGAGGTAGGACCATTAAGCCAGTTTAGTGGGCTAGACAAGCTATTGGTCCTGGACCACTTTGTGATGTCATCCTCTGTTTACCTTTTTTTATTCTTTAAAAATTAGTCAGTCCATCAAATAAACAAGCAATTTGTTTTCAGTCAAATTAGTAGTATTTTAATAAAAAAGGAAGACTTAGAGGAGCAAACAGGGCAGGAAAGAATAATGTGAGCGTTCGGCAGCCACCTGATGTAATAAGACAAGCATAACTAAGCATAACTTTGGAGTCAGACACACTTGAGTTTGGATCCGGGATCTCTTCTTTGCTGCTTTGAGACTTTGCACAAGTTATTCTTGTTTGCTAGCTCCAGTTCATCAGAAAAAGGGGTGAGGGGATCATGGAAGCCAGGAGAGGGAGATCAGTATGTCCTGGTTTGCTTGGGGATATTCCTGGTTTTACCAGGGGACATCTGACCTACCAGGAAACCCCTCAGTATCAGACAAACAGGGATGGTTGGTCAGCTTGCTGTTACATGGATTTAGTGAGATGACAGTGTGAAATGCCTATAAACTGGGCTTTGAGCAATTCTAAGTATTATATTAATTATTTTGGCACGGAAACCTTATGTTTTGGGTTAAGTTCTGCCAAATCAAAGCCTGAGCTGGGGATTCTTGTGCAGTGATTTATGTGAGTGTGCCGAGGGGAACACATGAGGGAGGGAGGGAAGCTGAGTAGGTCAGGGTTGGGCAAAGGGGGCAGTCCAGCTGAAGTTCAGCCTCAGCCCGATGCTGTGGAAAATTCTGGCTTGTGAATGGTACCACAGAGTTGTCCCACTTTGTGACAAGAGGGCTGGCCATTTGTGTACCACATCATTCAGCCACTGGGTGCAGGCTACGCTTGTAGGGTATTTTTAACCAAGGGAAATTCTCGGGAAGGGAGCAGGGCTATGCACTATTAAGACAAACAATATTTTCTAGAGAATTGGTGTGCCAGCCTATGAAGGGGATCTGGGCAGGGGCCACCATTACCTGCTACAACTGCTCAGGAATTTTCTCAGTGAACATTCTGGTAGTCAGTTTAAGTGAAGGAACCCACATTCGTAACATGCCACTACTTCCGTGGTTCCCATTTTGATATTTAGCTATCTTACCACCTCCCTGATTTACACACTGTAAACATTATGATTGATCATCTAAAAGGGATTTTCAATTCCTTTGGAAGAAGATACTACATAGTTATAGACAATATTATTGTTGTTTCAGGCATGTGTAGAAGAGGATACATTTTTTTTTCTTTAGTTCACTAGCTTCCAATGAGAAATCTAACAAACCTGAGATGCAAATTAGGAAATAAATGAAAGATGATTTAAAAATCTTGGATAATGTAATATAGCAGATTCCTGTAAATTAAAACAAATGCCAAGGTTAAGTAGAATGCATCTTCTCCAGAGATCCATATAATTTGGAAAACGTTTCAATTAGTCAGCACGCTTAACATTGCTGATTGCCCATCAGCAACTGGGGAAGAAAAAAAAAAAACAAACCTTAAAGTCAAAGTGCTAAATTTGCTCATCAGCAAGTTGATACATATAGATTGATTTTAACCTCCTCAGATTTTGAGATTTTCCAAAAAGAAAATTATATCAAGTTTTGATAAATTTTTCATAAAGTATATGCTGACTTGTGAGAACAGTGTTGCTCATATATCTGATATCCTGTTTATATTTCTAATATTTTCCCCCCACCCTACGTATTTTCTGCTTCATCTTTTTTTTTTTTTTTAAGATTTATTGATTTATTTATTTGAGAGAGAGAGAGCGCACAGGAGCAGTGGGAGGGGCAGGGGGAGTGGAGAGAGAGAATCCCAGGCTAACTCCATGCTAAGCGCAGAGCCCAATGCATGGCTCAACCTCATGACCCTGAGATCATGACCTGAGCTGAAATCAAGAGTCAGACTCTCAACCAATCAAGCCAGCCAGGCATCCCTAAAATAACATATTTTAAGTAATGTATTTCTTTAAAGATTTATTTATTTTATTTGAGAGAGAGAGTGCATGTGAGTTGGGTGTGAGGCAAAGGGAAAGAATTTTCAAGCAGACTCCCTGCTGAGCTTGGAGCCTGATGCAGGGCTCCATCTCAGGACCCTGAGATCATGACCTGAGGACATGAGCTGAAACCAAGACTTGGACGTTTAGCTGACTGAGCCACCCAAGATTCCCTAAATAATGTATTTTTGATACAACATTTAGAGAATAGAAGGAGACAGACAAAAATCCCGCCTCACACAATAACTATCTTTTTTATTTTTTGCTGCATTTGCCATCATTATTTTTTTCAAAGGCAGGAGTCTTGCTGCCTCCTAACCCTAGGGTGATGACAAGTTAAAGAAACTGCAGTTTTCAAAACCACTTTCCAGTTCCCCCTTTCTTCCCTCTAATTCTAGCTGAGGCAAGGCAAGCAGGTTAATGTTCACTTAGAAGCCTAGGGTAACAAGCTCAGAGAGCAGGTTAAGGCTCCAGACTGTCAAAACCATCTGACCATCCCTCTTCTGCTGCTCACGGTCATGGTCCTTATCGTGATTCAGAGCAGTGTGCCTTGACATGAGCCCTCAAATCATAGTTTGCAAGAATTTCAGTCCCAACCTGTAAACTTCGGACCCGAATGTGCACCTACTTAGCAGCCTCTGGGAAACTGTCTCTGGAGTCTTTGCATACATCAAGACCAAAGAGCCCAGTTTCTTCCCTATTGAGCGTAACTCATGCCTTTGCTTACCTCTGGTGACCTGCACTGTTGTCTTCAGTTTGCTGAACACGGACACACCTCCTGCTGATATGAAAGCACTAAGAAAATAGATTTGGTGTCTGTCATGTTTACAATGGTTCTTAAAAAATTATTAATAAATATTTACTGAATGAATAAACGAATGAATCTCCTCATTTTATTGTGATATTTTAATTACCTTAGAGGCTTTTGATAACCCTTTATTCAATGATCTAGAATTAGTACACACATGAGTCCTGTGAATTTTTTAAGACATTTACAAAGAGTTGAGAAATCTCATGTTCCATGTACTCCCTCCCCTATGCTTTAATTTATTATAATACCAATAATTATTTAACCAAATTGTCACTAAAATTGTTAATACTTTAAATATTATTGGGATAAGTTATGCTATATTTATCCAGACTGGAGTTACCTAAACCTATCGATATATCATAATATATAAAGATAAGACAAGTATTTAAAGAATAGAAATTTTCAAAATAGTTACTAACCAAAACTGAATTGTAGATAAAATATTTTAAAGAATAATGCAATCATGTTTGTGACATTTATTTACTCTTACTTTCAGGTTTGTGTAGGACTCAGAGCCGCACATAGGACTGCATGACCTCAGTGTCCAAGGTACATTATATATTTGCCAGCAGATTTTTGTCCTACCAAAATTACAGTGAGAAAAATGCTGGCTCCAGAATATTCTTTGAGATATATGAGTGCTTCATCCACATGGAGTCTTAGAGAGGTCAAGGAACTTGTCCTTTGCCACATAAGATTCTGTTTGAAAGATGAAGGTGGTAATGACACCTCATATTGGGGTTGCAAGGATTAAATGAGCTCAAGTGTAGGCAGAGCATCACATGGGGCCAGATACTTAGTGATCAGTGTGTACTGGCTATTAATTATTACGTGGTGGATTGGTACCTAGAAGATAAGACTTCTGAATTTTCTGACAGTTGTGAATTGCAGCGATTATACCGAGTAAAAGTTCGGTCATCTCTGTTCACTGAGCACAATCAAAGTACAAGTTTCCAGGACATGTCAAGAAGCATTTAACGTGTAGTAAGACCAGATATCCTCAGGTTTACAAAGCAGTAGCCCTCTTGTCTTGTATCTCTTAACACCTGGGATGGTACATCAGAGACTATAATGTTAATGGTAATGCCTCTCTTGATGGTCATTCCCATCTCTTTCCACTTAGCACCCTGCAAAGCAATCTCAGGATTTATTACTGACCAGGTGACATTAAAAAGTGTAACGAGCCTGGAAGGACATCTGAGAATATTTCATTGTAATAAACCTTCTTTGAGGGAAAATAGGAGATGAGCAAACTGGAGAGATTGATTCCTGTAAACTCACAGAGTGCATTCCATTAGTCCTGGCTTTCAGTCACCCTTCTCTTCTCCAAATGGGGTTCCCTCAGCTCTGCTGGAGGCTTTTCCAGTTCCTGAACTAATCTGAGGAAGCATGCTTCAACCCCTGTCTTAAACTTACAAAAATTCTTGCTGCTCTTCGTCCCATCTCTGGGTGAGCTGTGAATGCTGGGGTTCTAGGAAGCCCTAATGTCTTTTTCACCCTTTTCTAATCTACTGTGTTTGCATAGTTTTGAAGATCATTTCTCTTCCTATTATGGAACAGATTGTGAGCTGAACCTGACTCATTTGTCTACAGTAGGTTCAGCAAACAAAGACCTTGGGGGCTCTGACCCTGTCTTCATTCTGTCCCAGGCTTCAGTTTTCATCCTCACAATCCCAAGAGAGCTGCTGCCCGGTATCCTGCTTTCCAAGGTCTAGGCAGGAGGGAGGAACAGGAGCAATATAAAGGAAGAGGCAAAGCCTAGAAAAGGACAGTACCACGTTTACAAAAGTCCAGCGGAGGCTTCTACTTCTCATTGGCCAGAGCGTGTCACGTGGCCACTTGCAAGGGCAGCAGGAACAAGCATGTAGTGTAGCTGGGCATCTTCGCCACATCCCCAAAATCGAGCTCTTGTTTCTATGGAGGGAAGCAAAACATGGATTTTGAGTAGTCAACGAGGACTGTATAATCATTAAACAAACAAACATATAAAACCAAATTATTTTATTTGAGTCACAGATGAGTTGCAAAAGTAAGACTTGGATTAAAGCAATGCAAGGGGCAAAAGAGAGAGAGAGAGAGAAAAGAAAGGAAAAAAAAAATAAAGCAGTGCAATGTAGACATGAGGAGCTGACAAATCTAAAGAACCATTGATCTGGGATCAGTGAAAGCAATGATCTTTAATAGCTAGGGACAGCAGAGTGCCGTTCAATTAAATACTTTCAGTATTTACAAAATTAATCCTTAGTACTTGACAATGTATTAAAATTAAGTGCTGATTAGGCCTGACCCCATAGCAGTTACTTCAGAAAGTTAAAAAAAAGTTTGTTTTTAGGCATTGTTTTGGCCCCCTTGATGGGAGAATACCTAGGACAATACCTTTAGGGAACAGAAACATAAATAGAAGCAGACAATAGCTGGGTCCTGTGGTACAGGGGTTAACAGATGCAATGTATCCTCACTAATGTAAACTAATTATAGAGAAATGCAGATTGATTCTGAGAAGTCTGATTATGCAATGCCTCATGTGAGTGTCCTGTTTTTACATTCGATGATTATACAAATGTGGTTTGAACATCTTAGGTAGTAGACATTTTCAAAGCACTCTGAATGATTTCTGTTTTATCCGTTACAATTTTCCTCTAAAACTGATATGATGTAGAAGTAATTCAATAATTTTGAGCACTTACTGGGTACCCATTGCTATGGTAGGCTCTTTATGTCCATCACGTACTTCACATTCATAGTAATCCTGGGAGATAGGTTTTATCTCAGTCCTATATCTGAAAAACAGAACATTATAGGGTAACCCCACTGGATAATCAGGGCCAGGATTTCAACGAATTTCTGCTGCTGCCCAAATTCACACCTTCACCATGATGCTGTACCACCTTCTATGCGTATGTAAATGTAATGTATGCAAGGGCTCCATGGCTCTGTATGGTAGGAAGGAGTTCCTCTTTTGTCTCTCTCTCATTGTTTATTTAAATATATATTTTAGGGTGAGGAGGTAAACGTAGAGGAAAATCAGAGTGACTGAGAGACTGTCTTAGAAAGTTCTTTTCGGCTTTGTATTTATTTTTGTATGTTCCACATACCAACTTAAACATGTCCATCATGACCTCGGGAAGTGCACATTCATTTACTACCATTGATGGCAACTTTCCCTGGAAGGAAACTGCAACCTAGGCAATTTAGGAGTACCACAACCATTGAAAGAATGATGTCCTACTAAATGAGGTTCAAAATGCTGTAGATCAAATTCTATCCTTTTAGGTACACAGATGTATGTAAGAAAAGCCTAAAGTGACATTGTCTGCTTAAGTGCAGAGTTAGTCTTGTCCCCTGAAAATATTAAAAAAAAAAAAAAAAAACAACCTTTGTGATTTGTTATGGGTTATAACTTATCAGGAAAAAGGATCTCCCCAAATTGCTCAATCATTTCATTGAAATGTGTCTGATAGTAAAAGAGTGAGTTGCTAACATTTTGTTGGCAGCTGGGAATCCTCTTTATATCCTTTAGTAACATGTCTGAAAAGGTTGATGTTTGCTTGTGGAAAATCCGTAGAGTTGAAAACCAGGCTATAAGCTTAGTTTCTGTAAATATGACCTCCATTATGCTAGAATCTGAGCCCCCACATCTCATAGAAGTCTTACTCATATTTCTGTCTCATGTAGCGTGATGTTTGGGGTATTGGATGATTCTGGACTGTTAAAATGAACTCAAATCATATGTTCAATCAAGGAAAGGCATATACTTCAATTTTCTTACATACAGATGAGAATGTTATTAGATGCTTATTTATATATTTTTCTACGTATCCTTTCTTCCATACATCCATATATCTACTTATATATCCATCCATTGAAAAAACATACCAGTAAAAAATAATGTGGATAATTTCTTGCTTTAGTGATATGAAAATTGCTTTATTTTTCTTTGTATAAATATCATTTATAAGATTAATTGAATTTTCAAAACAAGAACAAATCTTTCCTAATTACTAATGATTATAAGGATTAGACCAGAAATAATTACTGCTGATTTACTAAAATGTGTCACAATAACTTGAGGATTGAATTACTATTAATTAATTCAATTCTATATGAAGTTCTCCCCACTTAAGAAGAAAAGAATCATGTTCTGTGATTCCTTGCTGCATTTCCAAATCCCCAATTTAGGACAACCACAAGCATAGGAGCACACATTTCATAATGATAATTATTACCCTGGAGATAATACTATTGTATTTGTATTGCATAAAGAAAAGAAAAAAAAATACCTTTCAGGTTCTAGGAAATGAGGGGTCTTTGTACCAATGACTAACTATCTAGGATACTGGTTATTTTGTGAGGTATCCTTTGTTGTTCTACGTTTATGGGGATTTAGGAAGTGGTTGGGTATTTTCCCTGAAGTTAAAAATTAAGCCTCCCTAATCTTCTTTCACATTTGAGTTTATAAGTAGTACAACATACATAGTTTACTTCATTTATATTATATCCAGTGTCTAAGATAATAGTACATATAATATAAAAGCTTAAAAGATAATTCAGCAGGTATTTATGGATTAACTATAAAATATCTGTAACTAGGCATTTTAAAAAATGCAAGGTTTAAGTTAGAACTTTTAACTTTCAGAATCTTTCTGTAACATTGGAAAGGTGGAATACACAAAACCATATAATGACATGAGTGTGTTTTCATGTGATACAAGATTTACACAGAGCTTTAAAATTTGGCATAGAAATCTTTTGAGATATTTTGGGTTATATTGCTCCTTTTTCAAATAAATTGTTCATCGTTGATAGTCTCTTTGCTAGTTATTTGTTAGATGGGGCATGGGAATTTATAAAGCTTATGGAAGGAAAAGGTGGTCTCTGATGGTTTGAAGCTGAACTGCTTGGTACTGGGTATACTGGAAAATGGTCTTTCAGAGGGCAAAGGCACATAAATAACTTGGCAAAGTACCTTCTTTGTGCATAGTATATGATAAAATATGAACTCTTGTTTAGTTCAACTAAGACGGAAGTCATTCATAGATTCAACAAGTATGTATTGACTTCATTATGTGTCAGACACTGTGGATGGTGCTGGTTTGGTCAGGCAAACCAACAGTGTCTTAACTTTCATGGAGCTGACAATCTGGTGATGAAGGCAGACAAGAAATGATTCAAAAACTAAGTGACAGAAGAAAATGAGATACTGTGAGAGAGAATAGGAGGGGGCTTACTTAGAAGTTTTATCTGAAGAGTTGATATTTCAAATAAAACCTAAAGATGGAAAAAGTGTTAAGTATGTAAAGAATGGGAAGACAGAGGAATAGCAGTTATAAAAGCCAGAAATGGAAAGGAATTTGAATTGTTCACAGAATGAAGAGATAGTGGATGAGGAAAACAAAAAGTCATAGTATCTATAATATATATAAGAAAGGAGCATAAGACACAGTTTAAGAACAGCCAAGTGCAAGTGCATTTTACAATCATGTGAACATTTCGAGGGGGAGTCTCCAAGAGGCTGCTCAATAAATAGCACCTCATCCCTCTCTGAATCT